CACACACACACACACACACACACACACACACACACACACACACACACACACACACACACACACACACACACACATCGCCAATTGCGCTATCTCCACGGACATGGTGGCGGCGCACCATGAACATCCACATGATGGGCCACGTGTCCGATCAAGGCAGCCCTGACCCTCGCGCCGAGGTCGGAGCCGTAAGTCGAATCAATCTCCAGCACGGCTTCGATGTTCAGATCAGGAAGGTGACGTAGAAATCGGCGGTTGCAGCGCCGGCGTCGACGGGGGTTGCGTGGCTGCCCATCACCCTCGCTGTCGCTACTGTCGTTCATCAGCTCCGGGTCGATCTCCACCCTGTGCTCAATCATGAGGTTGTGTAGTATGCACACAACCATGAATTCCTTGCGCAGCGTCTCCAAATTCGCGATCAGAGTGCGGATGAAATTCCTCCACACGGTCTTCAAACGTCCAAATGTCCGCTCTATACAGGATCTCACCGTCGAGTGACATCCGTCGTAAGTGCGATCTGCATCAGTTCTGGCAAATCTTCCCATAGGTGTCACGATCCACGGGAGAATGGGGTAACCGGCATCTCCAAGCAGGTAACGACCCACGTGTGTCCCGTCATGCAGGATAGCTCCACCTTCGCATAACACACCTCTGCCTGCCATGGTGTTGTGGTACAGCGGTGACATACGCAACACATGAGAGTTGTGCACGGAACCAGGGCAACCGACATACACGCTGAGAATTCTGCACTCGCTATCACACACCACCTGGGCGACGACAGAGAAGTCTCCAGTGTGATGATAGTAGCACTCTGACAGCGTGCCCTTCGGCTTGTCAATGTACACGTGTGTGCAGTCGATGGCCCCCACACATCCGGGAAACCCCTTCGCCTCGAAAGCGTTCTGGACCTCTTCCAAATGCCTCCCTGTGGGGAATTGGTGCAGGTGTCCGTACTCGTGGAGGATAGCATCTGCGACGTCCTCGTTGCTTCTCACCGCACTGGCAAGGCCCATACCCAAACTGTGGGACGATTGCCGATAGTACCCGCCCGTCGCCCATCGGATCAGTGCGCAAGCGAACTTCTGTCCGGCCGGTAGAGGCAACCGAAAGTTGGTAGGTGAGCGCTGAATATGGGGGGTGATGCGCTGGAGAACTTGCAAAAACAGAGGTCTTGGTAATCTGCAGAACCGCACGAACACCTTGTCGTGCTCCGCACCCACCCTTTGCAGGTCCTTCCACAGACCTCCGTTGTGCTGCAGCATCCACACCCGCCTTCTCCGACAGTTCATGTGTCTTCCCAACTCCTGTGTTGCGAAGAAGCTCAAGGCCATGCCGTGAACCACCCCCCCTGCAAGCATCGTCAGCGCCCCCGACACATCCCGAAACATGAACGGGGTGATGGCGACTGCTTCAAGAATGGCCATGGCCACAGCATTGCGCCTATTCACCCACTGGGTCATGAGGAAAACGAGCATGAACATTATGTCCTCCCACTCCTCATTCGTAGTAGGCACATCCGATGGAGACATGGCCACAATGTCACTGTTTTGCACACAGCGTCGGCCCTTGCACACCACCTCTGCGGAACACGTGACGATAGCAACACCTTCTGCAACCCCTATTCCTCGGCAACCCCTCCACCGCATTCGCCGGCTATGGCTTCCCGTCAGTGTTCCGTGCATGCACGCTCGCTCTGGAAGGACCGCGTTGGGGAACAAAGTTCTCCAACGGCCACTAGGGGGGCGGGCGAGTGTTTGGGGGCGATGGAGTGGGACACCCGCCGATATTCCCAACGGTCATTTCCGGCCACGGAGGGCCCCGGCGGCGTGCGGACCAGGCCACCCAGTTGTGATGTATGCGGTACCTGTGCGGCGTGTGCCACACGCGGTCGCGCACGGCCACACACGGACATGTCCTGGTGCATGCCGACAGAAGGGCCTGGACCACATCCCCGGGCCTACTTGCCTTTTCGGGAAACACCCTAGCCGTATTTCCTAATCGGGCATGGAAAAGAGTTTCCAGTCCCGAAAGTCCAGGGCTGCGGTGGGGTCCCAACAAAACGCGGAAACTTCTTTCCAAACACGGTCGGCCGATTTTTGTGGCCAAAGGCTTTCCACGCCGCCGGCCAGTGGGATCCAAGCCTAGCCTGAGGCTTGGATCCCACTGGCCGGCGGCGTGGAAAAGTTTTGGCGAGGAAGTGTTTTTCAGACCCCACAGGTGTTGGAAACCGTCGTGGAAAGTCTGCCCGGAAAGGAATTTCAGACCCCACTGTGGTTGGAAGGAGGTCGTGGAAAAGCTGACGGGGCGTTTCTACTCGGCTCGCGGTCTGGAAATTTTTTGGCAACGAGTTTCCAAACAGTTTCCAATGACAGCTCCAGACGAGTAGGGGGGGGGGCATGGAAAACAGTTTCCAGGATCGGGCTGGACGTCGTGGGGTTTTGTAGACACTTCATTGGCTGCACAAGCAGACCATGGACCACAGCCCCCACCGGGCTTGCCTTTTTGGGAAACACCCTGGTGCAATTTCCTATTTGGGATTTCCAAACTTTTCCAATGAAGAAACTATCGGCCTGCGGTGGGGTCCCAATCAAACGAGGAAGAATGTTTCCAACCAGGGTCGGCCATTTTTTATGGCCAACACCAGTTTCCAGCCGCCGGCCAGTGGGATCCAAGCCTGAGGCCGAAATTTCCCGAAGCGCCAGCGCGGCAACTTTCTTTTTTGTTTCGGCTGGCCGAAATTTTTTGCCTAAGCGCCAGCGCGGCATTTTTTGTGTTTTATTTTGGCTGGTGGCGACGCTGCCTGCCGACCGAAATTTGGGTGGTGGCGACGACTTTCTTCTTATTCTTTTCTTATATTTATACGCGTTGTCTTTCTGCAAGGCTGGGGCCGTGTACTGGTGGTTTAATAAACTCTTAACCGATTTGATGAGCGCCCGCCAGTGCACAGAGGAGGGAGGATTCGACACGTGCCGGTGCAGGGAGACGAGAGCTTCACAACGTGGCTGGGAAGCTGAGACGTTCAGGGTGGAGGGACTTGGCTTGTGAGTGGAGACCTGTTCGACTCCGGGACTGAAGCACGTTTTTTGTCTGAAAAGCAAAGGATGTCAACGAGCCGATTTCAACACGAGGATGTTAAACTGCTGGGTGATGTTACCTCTGTATGTTCTTTGAAGCTTCACTGATAGTTCGGACACGTTGCGATGAAAGGGGTGGGGATGGGAGTCGTGAGACTACCTGTCGTCTTCCCTCCGCCGAACACAAAGCATGCTCGTTATGGCTGCACCGGACCTGAAAGATAGCTTGTATACGGTTGGTATCAGGGTGCGTTGTGTTCGGGGGAAGACGGCGACACTCGCCGCACACTCGAATTGACAAAGTGTTATGATAAACCCATAATACTTTTCTGATTTACGTTGATGGACGTGGCTGTCCTTTGGAAGGAACGATTTTTTTTATTTTTTTTATTTTTATTTTTTTTTGGAACGATATTTTCACCGAGATTGGTGAGTAGTATCGGGTCTTTGAATCGTCGTTCGTGGATGAGAGGAAGACACAATCATCTGGATGAAACTGCTTGAGCAGCAGTGCTTTCTGTAATCGTTTAGTGACCATTTCTTCAGCGGGTTAAACAAAAAAAAAAAAAAGAAGGGAAAGAAAAAAAGGAGGTGGTGGACACGTAGAGCGGAAGAGAAGCTGGGCCGTGTGGGAGCATAATCAGCAGATGGCAGACGACGCAAGCTCTCAGGCGACGGCTTTGCTGCGCGATATCCTTCGTGTGTTAATTGCCTCCTCAGTCGGTTCGGTATCCCTGGGGCTGCGCGTGCTTCACGCCTCTGTCGTGGGCAGGAGGCCGGGACACGGAACAACATCAAGGCCACGTACGACGAATGTGGCGGGGACACATGACCGGCTGGCCTCGAGAGCGGCCGGCTCCCCCGGCTGTGTTGTATCTGATGTGCTGACCTTTGAGTTCTGCAGGGGCACGGAGCGCGGGAAAGGCGGAGAGAAATTGGCGGGAACCGTGTCGAAAAGGAGCCCTGGCGGGAAGAAGAAGGATGCCTCCTCCTCGGGAGCGGCCTGCTCCCCCGGCTGTGTTGTATCTGATGTGCTGACCTGTGAGCGTTGCAGGGACAAGGAGCGCGGGAACAGCGGAGAGGAATTGGCGGGAAACGTGTCGAAAAGAAGAAGCCATGGCGGGAAGAAGCGTGAACTGCGCGCTTGCCCTGACGTGGCCGACAAAGATCATGCCACGTGTCAGGAAGAAGCCTTGTCTGGTGCCACCGTGGCTGCCGAAAAGAGCGGCGATACGTCGCCAGAATTCCAGCTGTACGAGGGGGTAGTGAGCCATCATCGGTCGTTGCCCGTTGGGCATTCCTTCCGCTATTCTGTGAGGTACGCGCTAATCGATTTGGACAAGCCTCCAGCTTGGTTTGTGCAGTCGTCTGCAGGTCAGCATCTGACGGCCTGTCAAGCGCGAGAGATAGCTGGGACGCATGGGAGGGTCCACCTGCTCACTAGCCCCGTAAGTGTGGGCTATGAACAGAATCCCATTAGCGTCTATTACTGTTATGACAAGATTGGCCACGATGATGATGATGATGATGATGATGATGATGATAAGGATTATGATGTGAGGCGGAGAGAGAGGGAAGAGGAGGAAGAGTGTAAGAGAGGAGAGGGGAGGGAGAATGCCTATGGTGCTGGGGATGATGATAAGGATGACGGTGTGAGGCGGAGAGAGAGGGAAGAGGAGGAAAATTTTAAGAGAGGAGGGAGGAGGGAGAATGCCTGTGCTGCTGTTGTTGATGCTGGGAATGGTAATAGTGATGATGATGATGATTATAAGGGTGATGATGTGAGATGGAGAGAGAAGGAAGAGGAGGAAGAAGATAGGAGAGGAGGAAGGAGGGAGAGTGACGATGGTGCTGTTGTTGGTCCTGCTAATGGTGATGGTCATGATGATGATTATAAGGGTGATGATGTGAGCTGGAAGGAGAGGGAAGAGGAGGAAGAAGATAGGAGGAGAGGAGGAGGAAGAGGAGGAGGAAGAGGAGGAGGAGGGAGGGAGAAGGAAATGGATAGTGGATTGGGGGGGCGAAGCAGCTATGGAACACCAGATTACACCAAGCATGGTAGTAAAGCCCATAATAAGCTGGAGCCGCAGATGTGTATTGCGGAGGTGACCAACACCCCGTGGGGAGAGAGGGTGGTGTTCCCCTTTTGTCCGCGGGGGGACTCGCTGCCTAAGCCTCTCCACGTCAGCCCGTTCATGGATATGGCGAGTAGCTGGGAGGTGAAGGCAAGTCCGCCGGAGAAGAGTCTGCATGTCACGTTCAACGTCCGGCATCCGGAGAAAGGACTCTACTTCATAGCAGATCTTCGCCTAAAAAGGGTACCAACAAGGGGGAGAGAAGCAGCGGGAGTAGGACGTATCTGGACTGCTTTTCCCGAATGGTTCCTTTGGCTTATGCCCCACCGAGTTGCCGTAGGCATTTATTGGCAGGCCTTTCGTCTCTGGTTAAAGGGGGTTCCTTTCTTTCCGCACCCCAAGTACCAGCCATCCCCGTCCGACCCCACGTTGGGAAAGACCCCCGCGCACAGAAATACGGAGTACAGGACGGTGGTGTTGAAAAGAGATGAGAGAGAGAGGCAGCAGGGAGGGACAGAGAGAACTGGGAGAGAGAGGTGGTGTGTACCACATAGAACGCCGAAAGACGACGGCGGAGACGACAGAATGCGGAATGTCAGCGGGGCTTCCGCGGGCGGCAGGCGAACCGATGGTGAACTGCTAGGTGGAAATGCGAGTGTACGAGATGGGGGGGAGAATTGGGAGAAAGAGGTGGAGATAAGCAATGGCTCTACCCGTAGTAATCAGGAGGGGATTAGTTCAAGCACTACAGACCAAAGGACCGGAGTCTGTCCGTCGGGGGTGATGAGGAGCAATGAAGGAGGAGGATGGGAAGTGGCCAGGACAGCGCACCAAGGACGTGTGCTTTACATGTGGAGAGACGCACAGTCGGCTGAGTGGCTGTGATCTGTTTATAACCTTGTTTTTGTTTTTTGAATTAAAAAAAAAAACTTCCTTCGTTGTGCAGCAGATTATAACAGAGGCTCGGCTTGTTGGTTAACCCACCGCGGTAGAACGCCGCTGCGGGTGTTCCTTCGTGTGCAACCTCTGTCCTTCTCCCCACCCCCCACCTGGGATTTGATCCCTGGACCAAGATTTTTTTGGGCCGTTTACCACCCCCGCCGATTACTGCTTCAATGGGGGATGGGGGGATGAGGATGGGCTTTTTGTTTTGCGTGATGATAATTTGGAGTCACTGATTTGTAACTCCGAGGTTATGACCGTACGATTGTCATTCTGTGGTAATGAGGATATCATTCCTGAGATTCTGGTTGCAGTACCTGAGCACCCGGTATACGACAGATCCAACGCTTCAACAAAAAAGAGGACAAGGAAAAAAGAAAAAGAAATAGAGAGCCTGCCAGTGACCTCATTGGTTTGTCAAATGGTCGACAAC